CAATTTTTATGTACACAAGGCACCCTCCAAGGTGGAAGAGTAGAAGACCATAGAATAATGTTTATTAGGCACTTGCACTTAACACAATTATACATTCAAGCAATAATCTACATATATTGCTATTGTAGTGGTCATGGGTTCAAATTCCATACAGCCCTGAATAATTTTTCAGGCCTTTAATTTTCACAACAGTATAACTGCTTATTAATAAGTAGTGTTCTTAACTGGGAGGATTGCTTCCATATTCGTTTCTTCAATGGCATTTTTGTATATTTTTACAATCAAAAATTCCTTTGTTCATCATCATTATCAGTTCTCGCACCAGCAGCTGCATTAGGCCACCAAATACTATTATAATACTAGTTGTGTAATTGCTTTGCATCTAACCCTTTAACTCCCAGATCAAATTTGTAATTCTCCTTACTGTCAACCATACAATTCTTATAATGTTAGTTCAGAGAATTTAGTATTGGATCAACTAATTATCCCCAAGTTGATATTTGTCTTTATTCTCATCACTTATCTGGTTGATACTGTATTGGTTGCCATCCCAATTATCCATTTAACTCACAGATCAAATTTGTAATTCTCTTTACTGTCAACCCTACAATTCTTACAATGTTAGTCCAGAGAATTTAGTATTGGATCAACTAATTATCCCCAAATTGATACAGTATTTGTCTTTAATCTCATCACTTATCTGGTTGATATTGTATCAATTGATATTGTAGGGGAAAATTCTTTCTTGGTCACTCATGGCAGTTAAAGGGTTAACATTCATAACAAAGTTTCATTTAACATAGAATGTTTCAAGAAATTTTTTTCCTTTCTCTTCAATACCATTTACTATTTCTGGAGAAAATTAACCCTTTAACTTCCAAGATCTCATTAGTAATTCTTCTTACTGTCTGCCACATAATTCTTGTGATGTTAGTTTTGAGAATTTGATATTTGATCAACCAATAATCCTCTAATTAATATTTTTATTTATTCTCCTCACTTGTCTGCTTGATATTGTATTGATATTGTAAGGAGAAATTCTCTTCTGATTACATGTGGGAGTTAAAGGGTTAAAGGAAGCAGGTTATTTTAAAAAAAATTATAACTTTTCATTGAGGTAATTATTGGAATATGTGAGTAACATTCGATGTTTTCTTATGTAACAGGATGATCAAGCTAAGATAGCCTCAAAAAAGAGTGAACTCCAATGTAACAGTTAGGTGACTAATTTGAAAACTTGAGCACTTGGTAAATACACCATGGCTTGCAATTCTGATTATTACAGTTTGCTGAGGTAATTGAAATGTCAGTCCCCATGCAGGAACCATCCACATGACCTGTATAGTCATATGCATGAGATAACTTTAGAAAAATGTATTTGTGTCAGTAGAAGTATTTTAAGTACAGTACCACCTAGTAACAAAAATTAATAATTTTCTGTAAGCATGAACGTTTGGGAGAAGTTATGGTGGTAATTGACAGGATGTATAGGGTCTGATGATTGTAAGGTATATCTTTCAGCTTTCAAACTTTCAACTTTGCATGAATTGTAACTGTTTACCATATCTATTTCTCTGTACC